CATTAATTGCGAATTATCAGACAAAAATCCTAGAGGATTTACGTGAAAGTTATTCGAGATGACAGCTGTAACGCGATGACATTCAATACACCTGTTGATCGTCTTATTGACATCGATAGCTGACTAATATCATCTCATTACAATGACTAATTCAACTTGAAGTTTGAAATACCCATATTAGAAGAAAAAGGGATAAACAAAAGTGATGAATACAAGACACCTATCAATGATAAAGTTGGATAAAGTCGCTTGAATCTCTTGAAAAGAAAACAAAAAATGAAATTGCAAAGTAAATGAAAATAAATCACAAAAAATATTAATGTTTTTAATAAAATCCAAAATGGAAATGTTAAAATTTAACATTAAAATTGAATGATAAAACAATTTCATATATTTATTATTTGTTTGTTTGTTTATTTATTCCTTTTATGTTATTATTTTTGTAAATAAAAGTAAATTTTTCTTTTCAAATTTCAATCCAAACAATTCCTTTGCATCTTTTCCTATCCATCCTTTAATAACATATTTTATTAAAATAAACTGCTACGAATATTTTTCTTCAGATGAACAACTGCAAACAGTTGCTTGCTATGTATACATATGTGTGGTCTATGTGTTTTTGTTTATCTGTCCTTATATACATATACATATATATATGCTTTTTAATATCCGTTTGAAGATTTTACTTATCTGTCTGTTTTTCAATATATTTTTGATTTATTGGTGATCATTTCGTTTTGTTTTTCAGTATTTAAATTTTTTGTCAATATTTGTTTCTCAATATTTAAAATTTAAATCAAAAAAAGATTTCGAAAAGTTTTTTTATTTTTAAAAACTTGACTAAAATCGTAATTAATATTAGTATCATAATTTTATTGGCTAATTAATAACTAGGATAGTATTTGTAAAGGTTTAATAAGTAGGATAATATTTATAAAGGTTTAATAACTGGGATAGTATTTATAAAGGATGGTAAAAGCAACAGTAGTAATAGTAGTAGTAGTAATAGTGGTGATGATATAATATAATATAGTGATGATATACAGTAGAATAGTCCCTGTAGTGTAGCAGTATGAGGGTATTTACAATGTAGTGGGGTAGTTTGCTCTTTCTTCACTTTTTTTTCATCAAATTTAAATAGGAAATTTGAAATTTTGAATTGAAATGTATTAAATCAGAAACATTGTAAAGTTAACAAGAAAAAACAAATTATACAATTATACAAACAATGCAAACAAATTATTATTTATTTGTTAATAAATCTTTTCTAAGGTTAATGCAAGATTAAATAACAGAATTATTAAATGAGTGGGAAATAACTTATCAATTATAAAGTATTGAAAAGGCATATTATTTCTTATTATTATTGTGATAATAAATGATATGAGATATGATAGATATTTAATTACAAAAAGTGTAGTATAAAAAATAATTGAAAACAGAAAATAAAAAAGGAGGAAATGGAAAAAAGAGATGAGATATAAAGAAAATATGAGGAAAAGAGAAAAGAGAAAAGGAATAGGAAAAAATCAGGTACAAAAAAGAAGCCCAAATGTCACATGTATCCTATTCATCAAGGTAACTGCATAAACATTCCCACAAAAAGGGCATATTCTTATCAGAATCAAAAATTTTTCAATTGTAAAATTTGAAGAAGCTTTTCCCACCCATTTATTCATATAATTTAACTTATTAAATCCAAAGAATAAAGTGAATTTTTTTCTGTTGCTTTTTCTAATTTTATCGTCATTGTTTCGTTTTGTTAAAAAATACTGAAATTTTTAGATCCAATTCTATCATACCTTTCGTTTGATCGGAATTATTTTTTTTTATAATAATTTTAATACTTTTGCAATTATATTCCTTGTGCTAAGTATAAAATTTTCACAATGTTTCCTTGAATAAATTTAGTTTCCGAAATTTAGCCTTAATACTATTTCAGAATGAAATAAATGGAAAATCCACTTATTTCATTCAGAAATAGTATTCAGGCTAAATAAATGGATTTTCCACTTTATTCTGAAATAGTATTCAGGCTAAATAAATGGATTTTCCACTTTATTCTGAAATAGTATTCAGGCTAAATAAATGGATTTTTCACTTATTTCATTCTGACAATAGTATTTAGGCTAAATAAATGGATTCCCCACTTTATTCTGAAATAGTATTCAGGCAAAAATAAGTTGATTTTTCACTTATTCCATTCTAAAATAGTATTCAGGATAAATAAATGAATTTTTCACTTCATTCTGAGATAGTATTCAGGCTGAATTTCGGAAACTAAATTCATTCAAGGAAACATTATGAAAATTTCATGCTAAGCATAAGGAATATGATTGTAAAAATTTTTCTCGCTCAAAACATGAAGTGATGTTTTCGTTTTTTACCTGAACAAATTTTAAATATTACCCGTACCAGTAACATCAGAATTTATAATTCGTTTCATTACAATGATGATGATAATGATGATGCAAGTCATATTAAGAACACACAACCGAACATCATTCCTATCCATCATTACCATCCCCAGTACCATCATCATCATCAATCATCATCAGTTATCATCGTCAATCACTATATCATCAATCATCATCAAATCATCATATATCATCAATCATCATCATCAATCAACATATCATCATCATCATCCCCACTGCCATCATTATCATTATCCTTAGTACTATCGTCATTTTTGTCCAAAGAACTTACTATTGATATCATATATCCCAAATCTTTTATTCCATTTCGATAATGGTTGTTCATACCTAATTAAAAAACAGTTTTCGTTGAAATATAAACTTTTCCTAGAATACAAATGATATCGAAAAAGCAAAAATGAAGAATAATTTCTCTATATCTGAAATACTTTAAATCATTTGTTATTTAAACATTACGTTACGCTTATTTTTATTTGTATTATTTATGTACTCTAATGGATATATAGAAACGTATAAATGCGTAAAAACGTATGAATGTTAAGAACTTTTTTGTAATATTGCAAATATTCAGTCATGAACTTCTCTTCTCATTCGCAAAATTCATAATATCATATGACACTTTACTGCGACTCTTTTTTCCAAATTTAAATTTCGCCATTAGCGCGTGAATACGAATCCATTATAATTCATAAATTTTCCATAACAGCATGTAATAGGTTAGTACGAATTTCCCGCGCCAGTTATTATTCTTTGCTTGTTGGCAACGATAGGCTAAAAATATAATTATCGTCATTTTGTAGAAAATAAAGATTAGTTCGTCTTTAAAATGAACATTAATGAGCATGAATATTAACATTAACATTAACAAGAACATGAACATTAACATTAAAATGAACATTAACAATGATTTCATATTTAATTAAATTTCTAGATTTTTCCTTTTCTTCAAGTTTCCATTTCATACTTTTTAATCATATCACTATTAGTACATTGTTAAAGTCATGAAAAAGTTTTGTTTTTCTTTCGATTATTTTTTTATTGCGTCATAACTAGGAAGTTAAAAGGATTGAATAGTTAAAATTATTATATTTCAAAAGGATTCCCTCATGTTACTTGCTAATGTTTGTAAACGCAGCTGTCAATTGATCTTTTTTTTTTTTCCTTTGAAGAACAGGAGATGAGAGAGAGAGAGGGGAAGAGAGAGGGAGAGAAAGGGACCTTGAGTCATTTCACTTTCCAATTATCCAATCTTTCGTCTCAAACTTTCTTCCTAAAGTTTAGAAAATTATCGTAAAATTTAATTGATTTCGTGATTTATCATATATTTGACATAAACTTCAATTTCTTTCCTTGGAAGACAGAAGAGGGGAAGAAAAGTTTGTTTTCTTTCATATGGATCTTTGTAAATTATTTTATCACATATTTATCATATACTTTTTCCAATTCCTTGCCCTATTTGTGCTTTAATTACGTTATTTCTTCTGTTTCCTCTATTCCTTTCTCTTTTTTGCTTATGCTTTACTTTTTTAAATTGTTTAGTAAACAAGCGAAATGTGTATTGTTTTAAAAGTTCACAAATTTAATGAAATTAAAAATTATTGTTTGCTAATTTGGCTTTAATTTTATATCATCCCTTCGTCATCACTTTTCTTCCCCTTTTTTACTGTCAATTTCATTTATTGTAATTTTTTTCGTAATTTGGCTTACTTTTTTGCACTTTTATTACCATTGTAACGTATTTTTAATAATGACAAAAAATGCTGGAAATAAGAAAAAAGAAAAAAATTAGTGTTAGTGTTAGATGGTTAACACAGTAATTAATAATATTACTCATTTCGAGCATTTTTCATTCCGAATGAATTCAAACTTTTTTCAATCCTTTTTTCTGAAAAACAAATTATCAATTTTCTTTCTTCTGACAAAACTCATAATTGTTCATTCGTTTATTTAAATGCTAAATTAATATCTGTGCAAAGTACATTTTTTCTCTAAAAGAAAGAGAAAATCTATATTCTTCTTTCCTGCAAAGTAAATCATAAAATTTAAAAACTAGATTTAAAATAAAATGACAAAGAAAAGTGTTAAATGCAAAAACGAATTTGAAATCAGTTGTTATGAAAAATTACAAAACTGGAAAAATTGAATTCGAAATAAAATGGCAAGAAATTATTTCCATTATTCATAATATGCGCACACTTTCCTTTGCCTTTTTTCTTCTACTCTCTTCATGCACCAAAGGCTTTCTTTATCACTTATTCTGTCCGGTAATTGATTCAAATAGTTTTTGTTGGTTTGACACGATTTTTATATAATCATTATTTTCAAATTACTTCCAAGTAAAATAAAACTTACCATTTCGTATTTCAATAAAATGAAAAAAAATTTCGTGAAAAAATCCATAAAATTTTTAGCGAATTTCGAAAAATCCTTCTTCACCTATTTACCATCCACAATAAAATAAAGCGCTTGGGTTGAATTAGTATTTCAAAATTTTAAACTGTAAGTATTTTAGCAGTATGTTAGCAGTAGAATGTACCATTAGTATGCTTTCCCCTACTTTATCAGTAGCAGAAAAAAGATTTCAATAAATTCATTTTCCAATTTTCTTGTTTTTTGGATGTTGCCGATTTTCTTCAACCGTGACAAAGACGACTAAGGATTCTTTCTGCTTTTTTGGGTAGTAGTACCTCAAACTCAGATAATCAAACCTTTAATTACGACAAATTTATTAATAATACAATAACGAACTTGGCAATTACGATATCGACACAACAAATTGATGACGAAACCACTAAGAACAAGAAAGACTAAATGACCCCCGATGTCGTATATCCAACCGACCTCGACGAAACTTATTTGTAAAATGAGTTGGCGCTCAAGACCCTCCGCTTACTTTTGTGGGAGGGCCTTGTGCCGTTTTATGATTACAAGAATTAGCATCCTTATGGAGCACGCATTGGTATAGTGTTTTTTGTTAGCGCAAACGTAAGACGATATGAGCATATGAAACAAAGATGTCTGGCCTTCAACAGAGGGGATTATCTTTCCTTTGTTTCTATTCGCGACATCAGCGACAGTCCCGAGGTGAGTGTGGTCTGGATCTTATCCTCGATCGGAAACCTCTAAAGGATAGAGGTGTCTACCGCTCTCACTAGCTCTTTTCCGTTAGCTATTCTTACAACCGCTGATCGACATATACCATCTTTGCGCCTTATGGCTCTGTGGATTCTTCCCACTCTCCAGGTATTTCTGCGACAATCTCCTCACAACAACTCAGGTCATCAATTTCGGATTCTCATCGAATTCGGCTGCGAGACCCTCGGTGTTTGCGTTGAGCTCGTTTTCTTCTAGGTACTCTTGCCATATTTTCCATAGATGATCAAGTCTCTTGCCTGTAGCCATATATTTTGTAAATTTTCTTCCCCGCATATCGTCTTGTCCCTGCGACAAGCCCTTCTGTCAAGTTTTCTCGAGCTGAGCCTGGATTCAAGAAATCCCCAGGTCTTAACTCTAAACCTACCTCTTCCAGACCCACGAAGGGTCTTTCATTGATAATCGCCTCAAGTTCGGCGACTGAAGTTATCAATTCTCCGTTGTTAAGGAGCTCTGTACCGATGGCTTTTCTTAGAGATCCTTTAACTACACCGTTTCGTAAACGTCACCACGCCAAGGGGCGCCTGGAGTAACGAATCCCCACTCCGTTTCATTTCCCGCTGTACTCAATCCTACAAATACCTTGAAAGCTGCTATAAAGTTCTTGGCATTATCGGAAATTATGCGTTTTGTGTTTCCTTCGGCTTATAAATCTTCGGAATGCCTGTACAAATTGTTCAGCAGGCATGGTTTACATTACTTCGAGATGCACAGCTCGAGTGGCTATGCATGTAAACAGCCACCCATCGTTTGACATTAGCATGATCCCTCTTTATTACAACTGGCCCAAATAGGTCTAAAGCAACTGTTTCAAACGGTCGGCTTCCTAAAACTCTAGCAGCGGGATAAGGAGGAAGATCTGGTTGCTCAAATGGCGTGCCACCCACATAGTGCAACCTTTATAAATCTTTCTCAAAACTTTCTTAATATATGACCGCCCATGCGGGATCCAATATCGTTTCCTCATCTTGCTCCAGGTGTAGTGCACGCTCGCATGAAATAATTTCTCATGGTAATGCTTCACAATCAGTTTTGTTAGTTTTCGTTTGTTGATGAAGTACGGAAAATCCCCAATTTGAGGTATAGCCTTTCTAAGTCTTCCGACAATCTCCAGATTCCATCCCGGTCTTTTCTTAAAGAAATCTTTTGCTTCCTCTACCTTTCTGTCACTTCCTAACTCACTTTCTGCGGTTGACACAACATTATCAACATAGAGATTCTTCGCTACTTCTGCTGATAATTTAGAACATTCTTCATTCAGTACGGTACCGAAAGGAACTCGCGCGAATCGATAAGTGGCCAGGTTTTCTTTAGTCACTTCCTCCGACTTATCTTTCAGCCACAAAAACCTGGTGACATCTCTGTTTTTCCGTTTTAAGCTCATTTGCAAAAATGCTTTCCCTACATCGGCCATCACCAGGTAACGTCCTTGTCTGGCCCGTAATAGAATTCCTGTTAATGATGGTATCATTACTGGTCCCCCATACAGACATTCATTTAATGATGGACCTTCGTCTTTGCTGATGCGTCAAATACCACCCTAAGCTCCATGGTGGATTTCTGAGGTGTTATTACCGCTTGGTGGGGCAAGTAAGATATTCACCATGTTTCATTCTGATTCTTCACCGTTTTTACGACTCCTTCCTCAAGTAAGATTTTAACATACTCATGTAACATTCCAATAATTCTGATAGTCTTCGTATTGTAGTTCGCAGACAGGTTTCCACGGGAGTATGATTGGACACAATAATCTCAATGGATCGTAAATAGTAGCATAGAATTGTAATATCTGGCGTTTGGTCTGAAGGCTTCTGAGGTCTTTCAGCTCCAAGTAAACTCATCTTTGATATTATTCCATTCGACCTAACAGTTTTGTAGCGGTCTTTGTTATTTTTTGTTCAATATCCACTTCCATATCATAGTTCGCATGGAATTCTCCCAAGTGCATCTTGGCTTTTTTAAAGAGATCTTGCTCGTTGCATCTTTATCCTGTCTATTAAGCTTCTCATCTTTTCCGGTGCTTTCACTTCCGATTTTTCCTTTTACCCCTCTGTTGCTGCTGGTCCATGATCTGTCTTTTCGTACTTCATTTTAACTTCTACGATTGTTCTACTTACTCGATTCAGTTTAGTAAAAAGTGGAGCTCTTTCACAATAAATCTTAGTTCCTTTATCAAATAGACTGTCTCCCTCCCTCAGGCAATCTTCGTATAACGCAACGTTATTCTCCCATTCATCATCATTTGCTGAACGTAATTCTTTCCACTCTGTCTCCAAATCATTTATCTTGGAGATCATACCATCCAACGGTATTACTTGTTTCTCAATATTAGATTTTTGTCGTTCTAACCATTACATCGTTCTTTCGTAACTTAATCCTTCTAATAAATCTTTTTCTCCTTTTCAACACTCTTTCCCGCAGTGTTCTCAAGACACTTCCAATTTCTTAGATTGAGATAGGAAGAGAACTTTTTTCGACCTCACCTTCAAGTTTTGTTATGAACTGATCCGAACAAAAATCCTCTTCTTCGCTTCCTTCTTGATTGAATAAGACTTACTCGTTTTTTTCTTGATCGAATCCTTAGGCCGTTGGTTCGAATCCGGCTGGTTGGACCAAATTTTGTCGCTAATTTTCTTCAACCGTGACAAAAACTGAAGGTTCTTTCTGGTTCTTTGGGTAGTAGTACTTCGAACATGGATAATCAAACCTTTCATTACAAATTTATTAATACAATAACGAACTTGGCAATTACGATATCGACACAACAAATTGATGACGAAACCACTAAGAACAAGAAAGACTAAATGACCCCCGATGTCGTATATCCAACCGACCTCGACGAAACTTATTTGTAAAATGAGTTGGCGCTCAAGACCCTCCGCTTACTTTTGTGGGAGGGCCTTGTGCCGTTTTATGATTACAAGAATTAGCATCCTTATGGAGCACGCATTGGTATAGTGTTTTTTTGTTAGCGCAAACGTAAGACGATATGAGCATATGAAACAAAGGGGATTATTGTTCCTTTAGTGTTTGTATAACTCACATGAATTAAAAAACGCTTTTGCTTATCCATTGCGGACTAATACTTTTTCCTTCAGCCTACTTAAGATTTTCTTTGTCTAAATACTCACGTTTCTACTCACGATATCAGCGACACTGGAAAAGTCCGCATGAACTCACCATCCATCTTTTTATAATCAGTTACTGAAAATTGTTGGAATTGCAAATCTGGATTAAATTTCAAGCTGTTATGAACGGGAATAAAAGATGAATGAAAGTTTGAAATGATACTGGGATGGAACATAAAAGGAAAGTTGGTCTGACCTTTCGCCTTTAACTTTTTTTCAAGACTATGATTAAAACACATGTTTTGGACAAAGAAAATCTTGAAAATCTTAAGCAGGTTGAAGGAAGTATTAGTCCGCAATGGTTAAGCAAAAACATTTTTTAATTCATGTGAGTTATACAAACATTAACTGAAATAACAGATATTGATGGGATGACTTTATTTTTTAAATAAGCCAAAATCTCTTAAAGTCAAAATTACGATATCATGCAGTTTTGCCAATTAGGTGGATAACAAATAGGTAAAATAGATGAAACTCAGCAATTATTATGAATTATCAGGAAAACATACTTAAGTAATTTCTCATATCTTAATGCCCACTCATACTTGCATATTTCTTGCTATAAGTCTGAAGAAGAAAACACATCCAATCAAAATTTCAATTTTGCATAATTATTTATTTAGATGAATAGCAAACTTAGCTATCCCCATTTCATATCTTTCACCAAATAAAGCCATAGAATTTTCATTATTGAGATGCAATTAATTGGGAAAACTTTCCCTGGATGGGAGGAACTTTTACCAATCGCAGCAGAAAGGCCTAGAAGAATCCAGCCAAGTAAAAATTTCAATAGTGATTAAAGTCGAACGATTTTGCGGAATTATCCTAGTTATTATCTTCCTCATTGAGATTGGTTATTTGCTTCATTTGATACTAATAGAATAAATTATCGTAATGAACTGATTGTTCATAAATTTTAAAGAATGTTGTTATTTTGACAATAACCGTTCGAAATTGAAATTTCAATGTTAGCTAGTTTTCATCAAATTATTTCGCTTCTTTTTTTGCTTGCTAATTACACCAACACTTGCGCGCACAGACATATATATATATATATATATATATATATCTGCTGCGTACATATATATATATATATATATATAATAAATACACGCATACACGTACACACATTCACACACACACGCACACACACACACACACACACACACACACACACATGCACACATACATATACATACACAATGAAATTTTACTTAATGAAGAATGGAAGAAAAGGAAAAATTGTTAGAAATGGAAATTTA